ATCACCCATCAATAGGTCAAAAACAAGGAAAAGCTCTAACATACAAATTACTCAGGACAATGGACAACACAAACATCTTAGTAACAAATTCCATCTATGAATTAAGAAGCCAACAAGTCGGTCCAACCTTCATTTGAAGCTAAATCCAACAGAAGGCACAGAGACATCTCCACCTCCAAGATGGAGAATTTACACAGTAGTTTCTTGTCCACGTCCTTGAGATCCAGAGCTGTAGAAGATCCCAACAGGTTTCCAGCAAGCTGTTGTGTTCTCCATAGGCCTCTAGTTGCATCAACAAAGGCTTTGAATTGGGCAGCCATCATTCCGAACCTTGTGGGAAAGCCAAATACAAAGCCATCAGCCTCGGGAAAATTACTAGGTGTGATCATAGGTACATAACTCTTTGGAGGTGCACTCGTTTTCATTAGAACCTCATATGGTAATGTCTCGGGGACCTGTGCAACGTTGAAGACACAAGTAGCAGAACATTAAAATTATTTTCTTTAGGATAAACTGAGAATCACTGTCAAGAAATTCATATAGTTTCAATGAGAAATTTTGAATGAAAGAAGTAAAAAGGGCTATCATCCTGTCTCTTGTGCTATAGTGTTGTAGTTCTGAACTAGGATGACAGTCCAAGATAACTCCGTCTATTAAAAAAACTAGTCCCTAAGCCGCATGGCTACAAACAACTGAAGATATTAAGATTGCAAACTTACATGTTCACACTCATCAAATGACAGACCTTCTGCACGGTGAATTTGATGATCTAAAACCTTTAACGTCCTCCATAGAATAGGTTCTGGAACCACATGTTATCTTCAGCAAATGTGGAATATCATAAATATAACTGAAACTTTGAAGTCAAGTAAAGTGATATTCAAAGACAGTAAATATTGTGAGAATTGGAGGATAGCAGTTACAAAGAACTGTAATCACAACACTTGATTATTTCTGGTATGACTAGCCAGGGAAGAATTCTTTCAAGGTACAAAGAACTGTAATCACAACACTTGATTATTTCTAGTGTGACTAGCCAGGGAAGAATTCTTTCCTTCTAGGAGGATGCAGTTAGAAGATGAGCAAGGGAGCAAGAAAAATAAATTCTAACTGCCCTATCATGACCTAAACCCTTCAATGGTTATATCAAAGCAAGCAAAATTGCAAGGACATAATGTTCCTATAAGGAAATGGGATACAAATTATATTCTCATTCAACTCCTTCAATAGATAGTCTAATTATTTTTGTACAAATAGAATAATAAATTTTTAGATATAAAAAAGACAGAACCAAATGAGCCAACAGGGAATTCTCATCAACTATATGTGACACTATCTCCTAATTTGCAACAACACATGTAGCAGCTCAGTAGCGAAAAAATTACCAGGGTTCTCATCCAAACATAAATAAGTAAAGCTGATTGTGCATCAAAAATTGTTGCTCAATCAAGAACTCGTTAGTTTTAAATGAACACAGACCGAAGATTTGATCAACAAAGTCATTAATTCAAAATAGAATCTAGTCAATCTAAGCCCTCTTACCTCTAATCCTGCAAGCCAGTTGGATGTCCTTAGGCATGATAGTGACACGCTTGGCATGGATAGCACGCAGGTTGGTGTCCTCAAAAAGACCAACAAGGTAGGCCTCTGCAGCCTCCTGAAGTGTTAAAACAGCATGGCTCTGGAAACAGAGATCAATCTGCAACCACAGAACAAGTCAAAACAAGAAAATACTTAGCCATAAATTAGTATCATTCTTTTTTAAAATATATGAACAAAGAAATAACAAAGTTTATGTTATCAATGTACCTTGAAGTCCTGGGAAATTTCTCGAACAAGCCTCTGGAATCAAATTTGCCTAAAGGAAACCACTATTTAAATGCAAAATTAACAAATAACAAAGCAATCAACACACATACAAACCTTAGTAGTAGTTGCTTCCCTGAAGCGTTTCCTCCACTAGATTTACGAGCATTTTGCTTGGTACGAGCCATCTACACACAATTACCAAGAGAAAATCACAATAACATATTTTTCATAGAGAAACACCAAATCTAAATAGCGAAGCTTCGGGAAAATGGATCCGGGCACCTCCAACGGGGGTCCGCTGCGAGAAAACTGGTTCGGGCTTAGATTGAGCCGCTGCAGGCTTGGAGTCGTGAAGCTCCAGCGTGGAGACGATGGTCGAGAGGCTTTTCTTTTCTGGTGGCGGTGGTGAGTCGAGACGATAGGGGAGAAGATGATTTGGGAGGCTTTTCTTTTCTGGTGGCGGTGGTGAGTAGGGAGGTCAGGGGAGAAAATGATTTGGGATTTATAACATAGCTAGGGTTGGGTTCTGCAATTTGAGCCATTTATTTGATAAAAAAAAATCGCAACACTTAACAAACGTTGCAAAAAGTGAAGTTTTTTGCAACGTTTTAGAAACGCTGTGAAAGGTTTCAATTTTTGCAACAACGTTTGACAAACGTTACGAGAAGTGAGACATTTCGCAACATTTCTCAAACGTTGCAAAAGGCCTTTCTTTTGCAACGTTTGATAAAAGTTGCGAAAGGTCTCACTTTCCGCAACACTCAATAAACATTGCAAAAAGGGGTCTATTGCAACATTTTTCTATAAAACGTTTCCAAAACTCATTTATGCTAATCAATGGCAACATTCACTTACTAAAAGTTGCCAAAAGACCCTTTTAGCAACATTTATCAACAAATGTTGTCTTTTTAGTGTTGCAAATGACTATTTTTGTTGTAGTGCTATCTGAGTGTCAGTGATTAATCTCTTACTTTCAGTAGTGGAATTAGTCTTTTGACTTTAGGTCATTACCGTGTCTTATATGAAGACAATCATACTTTGGTGATATTGGATGTTGCTCTGCCAGCATCGTTCGAGTATGTCAAGAATTATATGAAAGTTGTGAATGATAAATAGATGATTCGTCACTCTTAGATAGTAAGAGATTATGATCTACATTTTATCCAGTTAAGTTGATGATGAAATCATTGGCCAAGGTGAACTCATAAGTCAAAAAGGAGTTTTCGACTTATATTGACTTAACAGTGGGATAAAAGATACAATTGATAATTGAGATTGACACATATCCATATCCATATTTCATAATTGATCGGATCATATTGACGAAATGATTATAGTTTCACAGTAAACGAACAAGTTTGGTTTTGTCACACTACATGACATTTTTGTCACATGTATTACCTTGACACATTACTATGGGATGACGAATGTGAATTAGTGATAAATTAAAAGAAGCGTTTTAATTTATCAATTTTAATTAGATCAAAATAATAATTCATGTCGTTAGGTATCGTGATTGGAAACCTAATGGGTCACACGTAAAAGAGAACTAGAATAATGAGATTTACCAATTAATTAATTGACAAGTGTTGTACAAATAATTAATGGGGTTGCTTATTAATAGGCCCCAAATTAATTAATTAGATTAATTAATTCATAGACCATATTTAATTAATTTGATTAATTAAATATTTGATCGAGTTAAGTTTAAAAGATGGGCCAAGCCCACTTAGACTAATATTAATAGGCTACTATGGTTTGAAAACTATATTGAATAATTCATTATTCTTGTTAGGACAAGAAAAGAAAACCATAGTCGTCATTCTTGTTTTCTATGTGGATCACTATTGGAGGTTGAACAATTGGACAGCTTGAATTGCAGATTATGATAATTCGAGTTAGAGAATCAACAAAGGAGTTTGCAGAATTCATCAAATGTATTATTCTAAACATAGTTTCTATCCAAACACAAAGTAGATCCGTGGTGAAAATTGAAATTTGATTTATTTTCCGCTGTGCATGTTAAGTAAATTCCTACCAGGATGAGGACTTGCACTCTTCTAACCTAAAATTTACGAAGTTCGACCCTAACAATACCTAGAGATTGGTGAATAGGTATATTATGGGGAATTAAAATTATTAATTAATTAGTAATATGTCACCGATTAATTATCTCTAGATGATTAAGCATGCAAGTCAATTTAACATATGTTTAAATACCGCAGTTAATATAATCAATAAAGAAAGCAGTAAAAACACACTGTATGATTATGGAGAAATCCTAACTAGGTAAAAACTCCAGGCACTTTGTCAATCAACAATCCACTATAAACGATTTATAACTTACAGTCTACCAGACGACACGTACTATCTGATCTCCTGATTGTAATTCCAACAACTCTCTTGGATTCTGTGCTCATGCACCACTCCCAACTGCAATTTTCAAAACTCTCCTGGATTGTACTCTCCTGCAGCAACTCATATCTTTGTGAAATTGTTTATCTCCTGTGGATCCAAGAAGATCACGCATTCTTCAATAACTGTAACTCCAGTCAACTTCTCTCGTTCTTCAGCAACTTTGACAAATGCAGAGTAAAGAACAGTTTGGTATTTGAATTATGAAAGTAATGTTTTTCTCACCAAACATTCTCATAGGATGAAGGTTAAAAGAAGAAATATGTAGGAATTCTCTCTAGTGAAGCTCTCTCAATGATCACCCTTGTGTTTTGGTATTTATAGGTATGTTAAAAATGTAATGGGTCAGGGAAATAACTTTTAAATCGCAAAATAAAAATTTCCCGTACAACACTGTCATTCCAGCTAAGGCAGGGTGACAGTCGAGCAACAAAGGTTCTAATTTTTACGCTCGAACAATCCATGGCGACAGTCTAGTGAAAATCCACGCCGTATTTTCTTTCTTTTGCCATAGTCGAACCCTAGACCTAAAAATCTATTTTCATATAATTGTACATTACTGCTTGACTTTTTACAACATTTACAATTAAGTCATTTTTGTTTACAGAATTGCCAAATACATAATTAAAACCAAACATAAAGTTTTTCTCCTATCAATGTTATACATTTGTAAGGGTACATGTCTATTTGATGATAATGACTGGGATATTGATCGCTTATTTTAGGTTTTTCCATCTGTATGGCAGAGCAGATTGAGAGCCTACCACTTCACTTTGGTGTTCCCGATAGTGTCATGTGGAAGGACAGGTCGGATGGTAAATTTCCTACCCAATCTGCCTGGAATCGTTTTTTCTCGACTCATCTCAGTATATTACTCATGATCTGGAATTTTTTTTTTATGTTGTTGCAAGGCCTTCTTCCAGTTGATGTTGTGATTTAACGATATATACAGCGCCATTTGACCTCTCAATGCTAGTTTTCTTCGGAGATTAAGAATATTTCACACTTATTCACAAACAATGGTATTTCAAACCAGTTATCGTGGCAGGACGAAAGATTTTAGTACCATTTTGAAAGTTGGCAATTTTTTTATGAAAGTTTGTTTACAGTGGACATCTTCACACTATCATTCATTTCCTCTATTGATTATTTGGATCTTATGGAGTGTGAGAAACGAAGTGAAGCACCATGGCATTGCAATGGAGCCTTTAAGGATCATTTAGTAGGCCTATTACACTATGTAGTTTATTTAGGTTTGTGCACTGAAAAGAGGACTTGGATATTATCCCTCGATCTGGAATTTTTCTCTCTTATCCCCTACCATGCCTCCTATTTTAGTTTTCTGGTATACTCCATCCATGAGATCTTCGAAGATCAACATCAATAGTTGCATTACGGATGACTTTTCTAGTCGTAGGGATATTATTTGGGATAAGTCTAGACTATGTATTCATTCATTCTTTTCATTTTTGGCTATTGCCCTATAGTTTAGACTGAGCTAGGAGCCATTCTTAATGGGATCCTTACTATGTGCCAACTTTCATTTTCGAACTTGTGGATTGAGCGTAGGGGTGGGCAAAAAACCGCCCAACCCGCTCAACCCGCCCGACCCAACCCAAACCGACCGGGTTGGGTCGGTTTTTTTCATTTTTTTGGTTGGGTTCGGGTTGCGGGTAAAACCAAAAAACCNAGACTATTAATGTTGTTTTATATTTAGTATTTTGGTAGAAAAAAATCAGAATTTTGTAACTTTAATATTTGTTGAAAGGTTGTTCCTACCCGACCAAACCGACCCAACCCGACCGACATTTGGTTGGGTTGGGTTTGGTTTCAATTTTTTCGTAGGTTGGGTTGAATTTCGATCAAACCGATCGTATTGGGTTGGGTTTGGGTTGGGACAAAAACCAACGCAACCCAACCCACGCCCACCCCTAATTGAGCGTACTCCACTTTACCAACTTATTCATCACCTGTAGTGGAGAATCGTGGTCTGTTTAGGCTACTTCCATATGTATGAGGATCTACTTTACTTCAATCCTAATAAAATTTTCCACATGTTTTTGAGGAAAAAATAGGTTGTTGACTCGCTTCAAAGGGATGGAACCGATGCTGCTATCAAGAGTATGGATATGACAACTTGTCTCGACAACTTCATACCCTTATACAAATTGAGAGATATGACCTTCCCATGCTCATGTGTCTTTAGGCTTTATTTTTTGTTTCGTCATATTTGTGCAAGAGGTATTATGTCATGTGCCTTAGATTGTGACCTAATAACGAGCTTATGAATGGGTAGCAAACAAGGATCGTCCTTGTTTTTTCTACCTATGGTGATAATTTCTAGGATAATTCGAGGGACCCTGGACTTTCTTAGGTTAGTTTATTTCGAGAAGAACCACAACTTCTAGTCAACTCAATGTTGGAGATAATAATCATGAGATAATTTTTAGTCATGATAATCTTTGGTTCTTGTGATAATTTCATTATTTTCAAATTTAGCAATTTCGGATTTAGTTTTTGCTCAATTTGAAAACTTTTCGGCATGTCTTCCATGATTTAGATTGAGGAATTTCATTCTTTTTTTTTGGATTTCAAGTATAAAAAAATTCTGGAAGTCGCGCGGGTTGCAACATAGCAGTGCCGCCAGCCTGCGCGCTGCAACAGTACTGTATAGTACTGCTTTATATGCAGTACCATGCCACACATGCAAGGTGTTGTGCACTGCGCAGCGACAATGGGCCTGTTGCCACTGCCACAACTAGTAGTGTTT